TATGAATACACAACATTTAAACTAGATAGCTAGATTACATTGCATGCATTGTGACCTAGCAAAACTTTGCTTTGTAGAAACTATTAACAAAATGTAGCAACAAACCTACATTCTGTAAGACCAAAAATTTAAATTATAGGCAATATATAATTTATAGAGATATTGGGGGCATTCACTTGTACAAAAATTTTAGCAATTAATACCACATTTTCCATACACATTCTATTTATCTCAAACTACAAAATTGTAAACAGACTCATAAGGATTATTGGAGTAAATGTCAAAGTACCAATTAAATTAAAGTAATGATCTAAAAGACCAACCATATCTTTTGGTGCACACCAAAAGCTTCAAGCTTGGATGAGTGTTATCAAAAACTAGCATTTCACTCACATCTAAGCACATAGCCTAGTTGTTGAGAAGGTGTATGCTCCCTCATCACATATTTGAGAGATGGGATTGAATTATTTCGATCCCCACACCAAAGGCCAAAAATTAAGCATGTCACTATATATAGGGCACAAATAGTTACAACATCAAGTTCATTGCTTTTACACCGAGCTTCATGAACTACTTAGTAGATGCATTTAATATCTTGATAATAATTAAAATTTAAATTATAACTCTACCATGCTATAATTTTTTTTTTTATCTTGTCACTAAATTGTACCTACTTTAAAAAAGAAAGTCTTCTTTTTTTTTTTGGTTTTTGCACACTCCAAATTAGCCTCACTATCTAGCTCTCTTGAATTTTGAAGTTACTGACATTAATTTGTTGTTTTGTAGTAGTCTTCTGAGACAAACAAGTTTCATCCTTGATTTGACCCTTTGGCCATATCTAGTATTATAATGATATTCAAAGCAATTGAGTGCAACAACTTTGGATCCAAAAAGGAGACAAAAACAACTTGCTCAAAGACTTTTTGCTACATCTCATTCTTTAAGCACATTAAATGTGCCCCTTTACAAGTAGCTATTTCAATCGATCACTTCCTCTTGACAAATGTTAACAAGAGCTAGTATACATGTTAAACTGATGAAAGGATAACAATTTATACATATTACTTATACTAGCTAGCTAATTAAGTAAAATCTTATGCTTATAGCTGGTGATAATTACTCATAATGATCAAGGCCACCCACATCTTGGTGGTTGGTGTGCATTAATTAATTGAAAGTCAAGAGATTACTAAAGGGATTTCACAGGATGGGAATACAGATATACATACTTAATTGCCTCATCAAGATTTTGAGGCAATTATTATTATGTTTGTCATGGACTCATGGAAGACACTGTTGCAATATTAATTTAATGGCCAAATGATTAAAGAGTCTCATAATCAAGTAAGTGTGCACACAACGAAGAGGAGTTGATTAGA